ACCATACATACATTAAAAAAAACCCCCGTACAATACATACATTACTAACCGTACCATACAGGTTTGTGTAATACCCAAAAATTAGTAATATAATTTCTTTCATTAAAAAAAGTACAATAAAATTTCCGAGAGTTAATTAAGTTTTAGTTTAAAATAAAATTGTAGAGTATAGTCACGTGACATTTTTCAGTTGACGAAAAATTTGCAATTTTATCTTTACATATTTGTCATCAAAAAATTGAAATTTAGTAAATTTAATTATACGATTTTACGTCCAACGAAAGTCGCACAGAATAAAACTTTCTTTCTATCATGATATAGGAATAATCCAAAGGTATTAAATTTTTAAAAAATTTTTATAATTTGATGCAGATTTTTATTGACAAAAAAATCGTTTTATAATTCAAACCAAATTATCGAGTGTATATGTTGTCCGTCAGGTGTCGATTTGCCTCAGATGTCAGCTGGCCTAAATTACCGGCCCATTTTTATAATGTCTGGGCAGCATTACTGATGTTCATCTTCATTTCTATATTTATGCAAATCGCACAACATATAAATGTTAGAGTGAAATTATAATTTTAGAAATACAATTTTAAATGATATCCCGGATCACCCTATTTTGGACTTTAATTGGAATTGGACGACAAAACGGAATGGAAAGCTATGCGGCTCAATTACTGCGCCATTTAATTTTCGTATAAGATTTTATATAAGTAATTTCATGGGGAGTTAGGAATATCGCAGTTTTTTTCCCGTAGGGAAAAAAACTACGGTACTCCGATCCCCATGAAATTACTAAGTTTACTAAGTTATACCAAGAGCGTGTGATTTGTGATAATTATTACCATTGTTATTATCACGTGTTCAATCATTATTTATACTTTTGATCAAATGCATAATAATTATTTCTTTCTTTTCTTTTCGTTAAAAAATTATTTTCTTCATTTTTTTACTTACATTTTAAACAAATATCTGAAGATTTATAAGATAAAGATCGTATTATTTTTGCATTTTTTTTTAAAAAATATAAATAAAAAAATAAATTAATTAATAGTTTTATTAATATTTTCAAGAAAACATTATTAACTAAATCAAATAATTCTGCTAAAAAGAACCAATTATCAACAACACATGAACGATTTGTCATTCCTACTGATAAAGATTTACAAAATATTCAAGCTTACTCTCACATTACTAAAACAGATGATAGTACAAAAACTTGGATGAATCTTTTTAATGCTTATAAAAATGCAGCCAATTTGACTGAATCTCTTGAATCATTAGATGATACTGCATTGCAAAATCAGCTTTGTCAATTCTTTT